AAAAAAAAAAAAGGAAAAAGAAAAATTAGTTAGTCATGGTAGTACATTCCTACAGTCCTAGCTACTCAGGAGGCTGACACAGGAGCATTGCTTGAGCCTAGGAGTTGAGGTTGCAGTGAACTATGATGATGCCATTGCACTCCAGCACAAGCAATGGAGCAAGCCTGGATGGGTGGGAGGGGAGAAGATTTGGGTTAGGAAATCGAGGCACCAGAAAAATAGAAATGACAGAAAACCAGACAATGGATATCTTTGATATTTTATTATTTAAACTTGAATGAAACAAAACTACTTTGATAACAAGCTTTGAGTAAATAGCAATTAGTTCCTCCAAAGCAAAGTATTCATTCTTACACGTTGATTACCAAAGATCTATATGCTGATCTTTAAATAAGTTACATTTCAGATTTTGCTCAACACTATGAATAGCAAGGATGAATCCTGCCTCACAAAGGAATGAAACTTTGTTTAATCTGTGTCAGAACCAACTATTAAGTTTTGTTCAAAAACTTCCCCATATAAAATAGCTTTTCATTACTATCCAGAACTGTACCCACCTAGTACAGAAAGGAAGAAGTAAAGCAGATGACATAATCTCATGTCTAGAAAACCCTGAGAATTTACACCAAAAAAAAAAAAAAAAAAAGTTAAAGCCAGGTGAGGTGGCTCAGGCCTCTAATTCTAGCACTCTGGGAGGCCAAGGTAGGAGGATCCTTTGAGCTCAGGAGTTCAAGACCTACCTGAGAAAGAGAGAGACCCCATCTCTACTAAAAAATTAGAAAAATCAGCTGGCCATAGTTGCAGGCATTCAAAATCCCAGCTAACTGGGAGGCTGAGGTAGGATGATTGCTTGAATTCAGGAGTTTGAAGTTGCTGTGAACTTGGCTGATGCCATAGCAAGATTCTAGCTTGGGCAACTGAGACTTTGTCTCTTTAAAAAAAAAAAAAAAAAATTAAGTTTCAGGCTTGGCACCTGTAGCACAGTGGTTAGTTACAGCGCTGACCACATGCAGTGAGGCCGGTGGGTTTGAACCCAGCCCCGGCTGCTAAACAACAATGACAACTGCAACAAAAAATAGCCAGGCGTTGTGGCAGATGCCTGTAGTCCTAACTACTTCGGGAGGCTAAAGCAGAAGAATCGCTTAAGCCCAAGAGTTTGAGGTTGCTGTAAGCTGTGATGGCACAGCATTCTACTGAGGGTGACAAAGTGAGACTCTATCTCAAAAAATAATAATAATATTATTATTATTATTAATATGGGCGGCGCCTGTGGCTCAGTGAGTAGGGCGCCGGCCCCACATACCAAGGATGGCAGGTTCAAACCCGGCCCTGGCCAAACTCCAACAACAAAAAAAATAGCCAGGCATTGTGGCAGGTGCTTGTAGTCCCAGCTACTCAGGAGGCTGAGGCAGGAGAATTACCTAAGCCCAGGTGTTGGAAGTTGCTGTGAGCTGTGTGATGCCACAGCACTCTAGGCGATAAAGTGAGACTCTGTCTCTACAGAAAGAAAATAAAATAATAATAATAAAAATAAATTTAAGTTTTAGGACAGAGTACTGGATAGTCAATAGAATTGAATGGTTAATAACTACATGTGTGCCGGGCATGGTGGCTCACACCTGTAATCCCAGCACTCTGGGAGGCTTACTGCCTGAGCT